TATGATTGTTGGGTTTTTCTCTGTATCTATGAAGCGCCTTGAGGCGACTTTTGTTGTGATTTGGCGCTATATAAATAAAATTGAATTGAATTGAATTAAATCTCAGTATCAGGATGTGCAGTTCTTAGCTCACATAGTTGAGCTTGGATCCATTAAGACTGAACCACAGCAGCAAAACTACAAAAAATAAAAATAAATCAAAATTTCAGTGTGGTAATTCATTATGTATACTATTTATATACAAAAAGTAAAACTTGTTGTCAATAGTCAGGTGTACAAAGTAACAATTTATCTATGATAGTTTTTTCTACTATCAAATAATGACCCAACTGGATGCAGAAAGGCTTAGCAGTAAGGAAACAAAGCATGTAGTGCTGCCCGTGGGTCCTAGACTTCAGGCGGTCATTAACTGCAAAGGATTTCCATCAAAGTATTAAGAATCCTAATATTTACAGTCATATCAGTTTGTTCAATTACTTTTGAGCAGCTCAAAATGTGGGGCTGTGTTTTAAAATGGCTCAACTACTGAAACAGTCAATACAATACTTTTGTCAAATCCCTCAAAGTAAAGTTGAAAATCTGCACTTCAATCACATGTTGATTATTTGATTTAAAACCCACAACAGTAACTGGTGTAGAGGCAAACTACAAAAAATGTATCATCCAAAATCTTGTAAATTCAGGTTGCATCAATGTTCTCTCGTTCTCTGAATAGGGCCAAAGAGAGCTGCTTGGAGAGTTACTTCACAAGAACCAGGAGTTTGTTTAAACTGCCTAATGGCAAGAAACGTGAAGTTCTCAATAAGTCACTACATACTGTAACAGAGGCTTTTCAAGATTCAAGATTCAAAGCGTTTATTGTCATGTGTACAAAGAAAAGCATTTCTCTGTACAAGGTCATTCTTTTTCTGCTGTCCACACACAGTTAATATGTACAAATAGATAAATACAAATAACATGAATAAATAAATGGAGACAAAAAATATATAAGTATTAAATAGATTTATGTGCACAAGAGCTTAATGTGCGTGTTTGATATGTGAGATGACCCGATGTGCAAAAATTATTATCACTGTTAAAATAGGTCAAAAAAAAAAAGATTTCAGAGCCTGTTAAGAAGTTTAATTAGGACTTGGACTTCTTCTGGGTTCTGATTTTGAGTGTCCAGCCTCAGCGACACATATCAATACATAAAACACTGGTTAGACCTCATTGTCAAAGCCAATACAGACATTGGAAGAACTGATGCAGTGCAGGCACCAAAAACAAAATCACCTGGACAACATTGTGGAGAATGATGTATTTGAACCTTACCTAAAACACAGTGTTGGGGAGTAACTGAATATATGTACCAGAATTACGTAATTAAAATACAAAATATGAGTGTCTGTATTGCGTTACAGTTACCACATAAACATAGGTGATAATTAGAATACAGTTACTTTGCTGAAATAAATGAATTACACAGTGGTCTTTTCCTGTTTCATATGTTAGGCTATCCCCTCTTTAATTTAGGTAATTCCACACACTGCCGGAAAATCAAACAAAACATGCTTGCTGTTGTGTTCTCCATGCCTATCTCATTCTCTCATTCCTTTTTATTTTGTAACATGAATGGTCATGGCCAAAATCATCATCAGTAGGAAAAGCTGTAAAACTTATGAGGGTAAAGTTAAAAGTTAATGTTTATTCCTACCTTCACATTTTCCAAACCTGTCCTGTGGTCTGGGTTGGAGTGTTTGCCAGGGGAATTTTGGCCCAAAGCCCTATGTTTGACACCCCTGCTGTACTCTAGCTGGTTTAGGCCCTGTCATGTGCCCATAACACTCTTTGCCCTGTTACTACCACTGCTATTATTGTTGTTGTTATCGTTATTATCGTCATCATCATTTTTACTAACACCAAAACGGATCTAACTTTAATTTTCGTTTAACAAAGTTTAGCACAACAGCTGGAAAATTACTGGTATATTCTGGTTACGTCACGGCAATTTTTTTTTTTTTTTTCCAAAAAAAAAAAGAACGATAAAAAAGAAAAAGGAGAAGAAAAAAAGAAAAAAAAATAGGTCCGCTGTTCGAGATCTCTGGATCTTTTTCAGGTCTTAAACGCTCCGCTGTATCCAGCAGGGGGCAGCAGATACAAGCAGAGGATAACTAAATGCCTGAAAGCTCAGCGAAACTTAAACTGTACACTTGTTGATATAAACCTTTGTAGTGATGTCATGTTGACTTTTGGCTGGATTTAACTGAAGTAAAAGCTCTGTTTACATGATATATAGTGTTTGTATAATGTGAATCATTTTATAGGTGGTAACAACTTCAGATGTAGACTTATGAGAATGAGGCCAATAACAGACAAGTCATTAGATCCTATTTACCTTGGCCTGGCATGAGGGCAATTTTAAATAAACCAACTACAGTCCTCATGTTGCATCGACTTGTGTTGCAGTAGATCATGTAGCACGTAATATAAAACTGAGATACATCAAAAATAGATCCTGGGTCTTCTAGTTGCAGTGTGGGTACCATATTTCAAGCTTTAAGCCTAAATAATTAGCATCATTTTACGCGTCTATCAACTCCACTCCAGCCTCGTCAGACATACCAACGAAGGAGGAGTGGCCTTTGTTGCCTCATTATTGCCACATTTAAAAAATTATAATAATTTATCAAATGATGAACATCGAGAATGTCTGCTTAAAGGAAGCGCACACACATACACAGCGCACAAACGTTCACAACTGTTCAGTGTGTGTGTTCAGGCAGATGAATCAGTGCTTTGTGGTCGTGTCGCAGGGGAGTAGAGGCCACCCTGCTGGCTGCTACTGCCGATGCCGATCTTAAACATAGCAGCGAAGCCTCAAACACCGCTCAATTCAAAGTTTATGCAAACAGTGCACATAATCCGCATCTATTTTTCTTTGCTGGACACAGATACAAAGGTCGGTATCTTCTTATATAGGAAGCCATGACTGAATATCCTTAAATGCATCACAGAATATTTTTACCACATGATAATTATTGTTTTTCATCGATACAGTTTCAAAATGTGCATAACATGTGAGTGGGCCGTTCTCCTAACGTCCTTCGTGTCACCTTCACGTCGCTGCTGATACGATCAGGTACCTCCTCACACCCCTGCCGGCGTGTGGATGTGTAAGTGAGGGTCTGCGTGAGTGTGAGCGAGTGCGTGCGCAGAGGCGTGGTCCGTTGCGTTGCACGTTGCTAAGAGCAAATTTGGCATATAAGCGCAAAATGCGCAGCAGTCCCGTGCAGCCCGCTGCTGACGGTATTCAACAGGTACCTGAACGCACTTGTGAGCGCTCTGTCCTGAGTGGATGTTGCAGAGTTGGAGACCGGACTGCTTGCGCTCAATCCAAAAGTGTGATGGATGGATTTAAAGGCTCCTTGGATTGGAAAACTGTCATTATCCAGTGAATGACAGACGGCTTAACTCTAGGAATATTACACCTGGGAGAAAGGTTGGCGCAATTTAGAGGTACACTGGCACTACACTTAGCTATTTAAAAAACACTTTTTATTTATATTCCCATGGCAGAGAATATGTGTTTATTATTCTTTAGTACTTTTCTTCTTATGTTAAATTATATTATCTAAATAAACAGTTAATTTTTTTTTCTTTTGGGAATATTAGCACATGCAGTAGTACTGTAACTTTTCAGTAATGGGAATCCCATTAATAAGTAAAGGAATGTTATTAATAGGAGCTGTGATATAAGAGCTAAAACAAACATTTTGATTGAGCCCTCAGTCTGAGGCAGGCTAACAACCTGCACTGTCTGTCCTGCAGTTTTCCTCGCAGCATCAGTGTTTCCCCCATCATGAGGAGGTCTATTGTTTTCCCTGGTTCGCTGAGAGTAGCGATCTTCTTCCTCTGCCTGAACACAACCATCCAGGCCCTGGCCCTCACCAACTCCACCCGGCTCGAGTCCATCCTGAACAAGTACACAAACAAAGATGAGGAGTGGTGGAGGGCCAAGCCTAGAGGCAGGAGGGCCATCAGCGAGGGAGACATGCACCTCATCCTGGACCTGCACAACAAACTGCGGGGTCAGGTCTACCCTCCTGCTTCCAACATGGAGTACATGGTGAGCACCGAGGACACAGCTATCTGTAGGCCAAGTGCACTGCCGAATATTTAACAGTTCTTTCTGCTGCTTAAAAGGATAAATAGTACTAATATTAATTACACTTTGAAGTTGGAACTCTGTCGTGAATATGGGGTCGTGATTAAATTTAGTACTGATAACAAGCATGCTGTCCCTCCTTACAGTAATCGCTAATGAAAGAAGTGGTTACGTTTTGTAAATGTGTCAATATGCTGTGTGATGTATGACAGGACATTAAGTAGATTGCAGTTAAACTTTTCATTGTTGCTTTTCTGAAACTAAAACCTCCATAGCTCTATAGCTTACCTTTAATTCAATTCAATTCAATTCAATTCAATTTTATTTATATAGCGCCAAATCACAACAAAAGTCGCCTCAAGG